TTTTGTGTAAAATAAACTTGTATCAGTTAAACGATTAGTTACATTTTTTTATTTTATTATATTTCACTAATATTTTCACGTCCAAGTACTTAAGATATAATTTAAAATTTTTTACAAGCATTTCCAAGAAACAAAAATAGTTTAAGTGAGGTTTATTTTTTTTTTAATTTCAAAAATACTTCTTCTTTTTAATAAAATTATTCTTTTAAATTCTCCTAAACAGTAAAAAAATAATTGTTCAGTATTATCTTGTATTTTAAAATAAATTTGCATTGAATTAAAAAAAAAATTTTATAATAACATTCCTGTTTTGAATAACCCGCTGCTTTCCCCTTTGCGCACAAAAGAATGCGCAGAACCGAGCTGGAACCTCAGAGAACAGAGAAAGTGTTATTCTTCTGTCTTTCTTAGTCGGAACAGCTTCCACTTAAAGAAACTGTCCATATAGAAGTATTACATACATGGATAAATCTAAAAAAACGCATTGAATCGTATCGCTCTCTCAGCTTATCGAAATGTGTAAACAACGAGTCTGACCTTGGGCCCCGTGRTAAACTCCACCAATTCACGCTGGGCATTAGGCCTGTCAAAAATGTTTTTATTTGATTTAAAAATTTACATAAATTTCTTTATTACGTAAATATTATAATTATCAATAAAATTGTTTTGTATTCCTGGGTCAATGCAAGTCTTTGTATATTTTTTATAAAAACATATAAATATGAAATTCAATAGACTTATTTAAATTTTAATGAATCGAATATATTCTATGAAGAAGGAAAAGACAAATGTAACAGTAATTTACTTGCTTTCGAATGGAGTTTGTCATCTGCTTCTAATGATTTATACATTGTTGTCTAATTTTTTTCTCTGATGTATTTTGTAATTTTTTAATATACAGAGTAAGATATCTTTAACGAAAGAATTTGGGAAGTGAGTAGGAATGATGAAAACACATCCATATTCTTTGAAAAACTGTAGGCATGAATATTATCGAACCAATAATAAAAATTAGGAATGTAAGTCAAATTTCAACGGACTTTCTCTGTTGTTTATAATTCTGTTCTCATGGAAACGATCCAACCTTGGGATGTAGGTAGCTGACAAAAACTAATATTTCAAAATTGTGCCCATGAAGATAGAACATCAAGGATAATATTGGAAAGGAATCTGAAAGAAGTAAGATACGAAGACCGCGAATGGAAGGATCGTGCTCAAGGACGGGAACAATGGCGGGATTTGGTATTTGTGACAATGAACTTTCGAGTTCCTAACGCCAATTAATAATAATAATAATAATAATAATAATAAAGATAGAATATCGAATGCTCTAGTCATAAATACAAACCCAAAATTGTAGAATGTTTGTCGGTGGAAAGATACCTTGTCTTAACCGATGTAAATATAATATATTTTTTTTTGAAACTGAGGTAGATGAATTTTTTCTCTTACACTTTTCACGCTTTCTGTGAATGTSAGATACCTTTATTATGGGTTAACACACACAACTATTTCTTTTTGTGTTGCAACTAATACCTGAAGATGCTGTAACAGAAGGGAACAATTCTGGTCGTATTTTTTTCGTTTCATCGGATTTTGAATTACAACGATTATAATATCTATTTATCATTTCCGTTGTTTTATTTTATAATATTAGAAATTTACAGAAAAAATTATTTTCTATATTTTTWTTTTCTATATTTGTAAAATAAGTTATATTATTGTATTTTTATTGGAAATATAAAGTAAATAAGATTTATTTGTTTTTGTCACGTGTCTAGTTTCTTCTATTTAAAACTTTTCGATTTTATTAAAAAATTAGTATAAATTTCCTACATACGCAAACAATATAAATTAAAAAACATGTCTTTGGATATTTATAAGAAAAATATTCTACAATGTTGTTTAATTTTTTTTCTCTGATGTATCTGATAATCATTTTATTTTTTTGTAAAATATTGCAGACAATACAATTATTATATTCTATATATTTCGTAATTGTTAATTATAATATTTGCGAAATAAATAATTTAATAATTATTTTTGAATAATATAGAAACATTTTTAAATAGAAAAGCAATGACATGTTTGGTAAAAAAAAAAACATAGCACGCTCCTTCCTTGTTTATGTCGGCCGTCGGTTCGTTTGGACCTTATACTTTTGTCGCATACCTACGTGTTTATCTCTGTTTATTTTTTTACCTTTCTATCGCTCCTACCTACAAACATTTCGAGTATCGAAAGAATACGTGTCCACACTTCGTAGTATACAGTCGCACACAAACGCACACATATTCAACCAGGAGCGATAACTACGAAGCATAGCATAAGGAGGAAACCGAAAATAGGGAAAAATGTACAGCTATATATTATATATATTACGTCTCATTCTCTCGTAGGCTTAATCCTATATGTTTGTCTCTTTTTCTCTCGTTATTTAGTATAGCAGCCGTTTCATAGTTCCGTTTCCGTTTATTTATTTTTAGATCACTCCCATTCCAAAGAAGTTTTTACTTTAATAATTTTCTTTATCTCTATAAAATTCCCCTGTAACAGTGTTTGTTATTCTTATTCTCCGAAACGACTTGACCGATTTATATGAAATTTTTGGTGTATATTCGGTAGGTATGAGAATAGTTTTTCTTATATTTCTGATGCCCCTGAGTGATAAGGGTGACCCACCATAATTATGTTTCCTCTAAAAGGATATTAAGATAAAAGAGAAAAATAAGACAAATGTTAAGTGCGTAAATTCAGATCTATCTATATATTTATTAGCCACAGCAACGCGTGGACGGGGCACCATTAGTAATAATATACAATTATGAATGGTATATTATGCTTCAATACCTAATTGAACTGATAATAAAATTGTCACGATTTTTTACGATAATACTTAATCTTTTCTTTTTATTACATTCGAGTCAAATGTATAATTTAAAAGATTTTTCATTGAGGATAAAAAAAATAACTCTTGAAATTATGCAACCCGAAATTACGCATGAAAGTGCTTCTGAAATTTGCCTATCATTATGCGCAACAGAAACTATTAACAATGTCTTTATATATTTGTTACGAATTTTAAATGTACGAATATAAAAATCGTATTAATAATTTATTTATATTATATTATACTATTCTGTCTCTCTTTTCTATTATTCGTTGGTTAAAATATTCAAAGGGTTGAGAGGTCAATGAATAATACAAAATGTTTTATATGTGTAGTACAGAATGACAATTTTAAATGATATGAAAGATAGAGAATAAAATTCCAATAGGAGGTGAAAAGTGGTTAACATACATATTTGATCCGTATATATAGGTATGTACGTATGCTTATATACATATGTTTATATAACAAATACTATAAACAATGAATTTATATTCGGAATATGCTGAATAAGTATTTTGTTTTATTATTTAATATTAATTTATATTTATTTATAATGTTTAGTGTGGCATCATAACTTATAGATATTTCCTTATACATAAAATATATATTTTTACATAATGTAATATTAAATTTTATCAGGTATAACCCCGTGCAAAGGTGTAATTGCTAATTCATCAATCTAAAAGCAAAAATTATATTTTATTTTGGTTAATAAAATTTACTTAAAGAATTTTTTATATTATATTTATATGCATAAGTATAATTTTTCTATATGCTACATTATACGTATTATTTAAAAATAGTACTTACTTCAACATTAATTGGGCTGGCTAATGCATAAATAATTCCATCAGTAATATTCTTTGTTGATAACAACTTCAGTTTGCTCAAAAGTTCTGGTGGTACATTGAAAATTTTAATCATATCAGTGTCCACAAGACCAGGGCTAATATTCTGTTTGAATAATAAACAATGATTAATTTTTTTTTTTTAATATCGAATTAATAAATGTTGATTTATTTGATATATTTAAATATTACTAAACTATGCACAATACATAAAAGCATTTTTATAACGAAAAAAAAAAACAAACAAATTGAAGTAATACAAATATTACCGAAATTTTAATGTTTAATCCATCACTCAGGATTTCATTACGAACATTTTCGCACATGGCCCTTAAAGCATATTTGCTGCCTGCATATAAACTGAGTGGTATTTTTATGTTTCCTGCATTACGGCTAGAAATGCTGCATAAATAAATTAATTTATATTTAATAAATTCATGATTAATAAAAAAAAAACCATAATAAGGTATAGAATAAACTTGTTTATTTGTCCTAATTTCAATTATTAATAGCATAATAATAAAAAGTATATTTTGCTTTACCTTGTAATATTGATAATGTGTCCTTGATTTTTTGATTTGGACATTAATCTAACAGCTTCTCTTATGCAAATAGCAGCTGCGATCACATTAACGTCCATAATATTACGAAAGTTTTCCGTTTTGCCATCTGCAAATAAAGGAATATGATCTCGATATAGATACATTTCTATTTTGTATTGTACTTTTTCAAATTTAATGCATATCGATTTCGTTTTTATTTTTTCTTTAGAAAATATCATGCAATTCTAATACACACATATAACTTTACTTGTTTAAACGTAATTATAGATATAAAATTCTTAGAGAAAAGTAAAATTTTATCAGTAATTGTCTTAACATTTAAATTACAAAGCAATTATAAATAACAGATATAAGTATATTACATATAATTATATATATATAGTATAATATATAGAGACTGTCCATTCTGTTTCTATTTTAATACAATTACTTGTAATAATCGTGTCTTGCAATTAAAGTCTCAATGTCAATTATTTATACTGTTTATAGATGTCATAAGTAAAATTATCTATAAAGTTCATTTTATAAATCTTTAAAATAATTATTTACAATAATTATTATACAAATGTCAAATATTAGAATTAATAATTGTATTAATAAAATGCATTAGAAAACATTCTATTTTATTAATAAAAGTATATCAATGTTTTTGATTGTTCCTATAAAAAAAAAAAAAGATTTTTTTACCCTTTGTTTTAGATTTAAAACAAATAGCAAAGAAATTTTTTTTACCAATTCACAAAATTTCCTTAAATCTTTTCAATATATTTATTTTCAAAATATTTCTTATTTGTAATTTATAAAAATCCTGAAATATGTTTATTCTTATGAATATCTCACGTATTTTATATATTAATTATTAATTATTTGTGATATCAATAACAATTAACATTGTACTTCTAAACAAAAAAAGTATTCTACCTACAAAAATCTAAATGAATATTTATATTCTTATGTATATTTCTTTGTAATTTAGGTAATTGTAATATCATGTGAATTAACTGTCATAAAGACAAACACGTTGTCTAACAATAAGTTGAATTAATAGAGTATCCTAAGAATTTATGACTTATATACATATGAACTGTAAATAAAAACAAAATTTATCAAGATAAACACTTTACCAAGTATTTTTTCGTTGAAAACGACACCGGCATTGTTAATAAGAATATTAACTTCATCGTGTTCCTTTTGAATATATTTGAAAACATTTAAAATTTCTTCTTCTTTAGTGAGGTCACATTTCATAGGATAAATCGTGCCCGGTAAGTTTAATGATTCTATTTTAACTTTTAATTCCTCCAACTTGTTAAATTGTATATCAATGGCAACGACTTTGACATTATATCGTACCAATTCTGTGACAATGTTAGCACCAATCCCAGAACTTGCTCCTGTCACTAATGCTACTTTACCTGACCAACGTTCCATTTTTATAAGACTTCTCACAGTTTAACGTTTAATTATGCCCGTTTGTCTACTTTCTGGTAGGCTTTTTCCCTCGCACTGCCTATTTAACGGTTCTCTTTCATTTCCCTTTCCCTCCAGTGATCCTTGAGACTTTAGTTCGTCTGATCGACACAGGGGCGTAAAATTATCGTACGCGGCAGAAAATGATCGTACGCCCCGGGACAATTTGAAATCCGACAAAAATCCAACAATCTCCGACAAAATTTTCAAGAAGTTGGAAAAAGTGTCCAAGTTCCAACTTTTTCAAGTTGATTCAAACCCTATCATGAAAACGATAAAAACGGTTGTCCGCTGGGTAAGGTGGTGGTAAGGGTGGTGACGATAAGGGTGGTGGTGGTGGTGGTGGTGATAGTAGGGGCGGCGGTTGAAGTGGTGGTGGTGGTGGGGGCGGCGGTCAAAAGGTCACCAAGTTTTCGAAATTCCAAATGGATCGTACGCCACGAATTTTGGATCGTACAGGGCCTCAAATTATCGTACGTGTACGATAATTATCGTACGGATGGGATCGCTGTTTCCCTCGTAGGGGGAGCTTGTATCCGCTCTGTGCGTGATTGCAGCGCCATGGTATCTATGAACTAAAGAACGCTGCTTCGGAGGTTTTTAATATCTAAACGTATAGGGCTTTGCAATAACAATTAATTTTTGTTATTAAAAACATTTTTTTTTTTGCATGTCAAACCACGTGACAATAAAATTTAAATCTTGTGCAATTATGATGCAAAAATTACCGCTAAAATGTATGTATAATTAATAATTTAAAAACAGTATGAAAGCTGTAGCGTTTACTGTAGTAAATAAAAGGTTAGATTATAGCCACAGTAGATCAAACTTTAAATAATATTGGCAAGCAGATAAAGTACGATGTGACATTGTTAAAAAAAAACATGAATATATATTTAGGAGAGTTTTAAGTGTCGCAGATGTAGATGAAAATCTAGTATTCAGTTCTTTTCTTTATATTTTATTTTCTAAAAAGGAAAACTCTATTCAGAGACTAGAAGAAAAGATTTAGGAAGGCCATAAAACCATAAACAAATCTAAGGATTATCGGGATATATTGGTGCAATAAAAACCCTTTCTGGAGTGTCGGGACCCTTTGAAGAATTTCGGATTCTTATGTAAACATATGCAATACCATAAAAAGAGGTAATATTCCGATGTTTTAGATCAAGTTTTTTTTTACGCATAGTTCCAATTACCAGAAAACCATAGTCTGTACCCGTCGGAGGACTATGGACTATGGGGGTGGATCCTTATATTATTGGTCAATAAGATTCGTAAGCTCCTTTCCTTTCCACAAGGGTGAAGGTCATTTCTGATATAAAATACGTGGAAAGAAATAAGAAGTTAGCAGTAGTCGTAGTAGTAGTACTAATTATGTAAGATTCGTGAAAAAAAACTGGACCGCTGGACTGACTGGACCGGGACTCGAACCACGGATCTATCGCTTTCCGGGCGACTGCTCTTTAACCAATTGAGCTATCCAGGGCCCACCGACCAGTTCCCTTCCACGAATGCTTATCAAGTTTGGCATGGAGGCGTTCGTCCCACAATTATAAATTTAAATTTTTGGTGGAGACTTCAGAAGGAGAATGATAATGTTCAACTCAATGGTGAAGAGTATATGTATGTACGCAGTGGAAATTTGGGGGATAGAGGAGAGGAAAGAGGTGGAAAGAACACAGGAGAGGTACTTGAGGAATATACTAGGATTGGATCTATGTGTATCGGGATATTTGATAAGAGAAGAAACGAAGGTGGAAAGAATAGCAGTGGAAGCAGGAGTAAAAGTGATTAAATATGAAGAAAAGATTAAGAGTGCGGAAAACGAATTACTAAGACATTGCAGAAGAAAAATGGATAAGAAGAAATGGGAGGAAACGAGAATGGGTAGATTGAGGGTAAAAATGTATGAAAGAGCAGGACTAAATAGATGAGAAGCAGAGGCAAGAGATGACAGTGGACAGAATGTGACGGAGATATAGAGAAATAAAGTGATAGAAGAAGAAAGAAAGGAAAGGGATAAAAGGATAGAAGAATCGAATTACAACAGGGAATATAAAAGATGGAGAACAGAAGGGCTACCAGAATACCTGCAAGAGAAAAGTAAACGCAGAAAATCCAATTTGAGCTGTCAAACGATTAATGCTACAACCTTGCGAAATATATCATATAACAAGATGGATATTGCATAAATATTAAACAACGACATCCCGTAACAGTTACTTCATTCATTATAAACATCATTACTTCATTTAATTTGATATTTATGAATATACTAGGTAGAAGTGAAACCTTCAAAGAAAACCAAGCTTTCATACGTGAACATATTCAAATAATCGATTTGTAATACAGATCATTGTAATACAGATATTTGTAATACAGAGAAAAAAAATCGCAATAAAAATTATGCTAGGTTCTAAGTTGAAAAAACAAACGCGTGCAATAAAACAAATTTCATTAAGATAAAATAAGTAGTTTCAGAATTATTAGTGAACAAACATAATGTAACACTGAATTTTTATAAATAGACTTTTATTTATTAATTAATATATAGAATAAAAAATTATATATTGAATTTTATTATATAATAAATTATCTTTGTTTAATCGGTTTTACGTTCTTCTGTTTCACGATTATTAAATCCATCTAATTCTGAAAAAGTTTTCACGTCAAAAAAACCACAGCAACGCGGGCAAGGGAACCCCTAGTACATATATGTATTGCAATTAATTAGCCTGAGTCACCCTCTTCCCGCTAACAGACAGTATATTCTCTTTCTATATATTTCATTTTGAACCATAAGAACTAAGTATTCCTAATTTCTCATGGTAACACTATAAAATGTAGTACTGAAATTTGCTGTAAAAGAACTGTAGAAAAGTAAAGATGGTCTACAGTTGAACGGGACAACACAATTGTTGATATACACGGACGATATTGCTTTGTTAGGGGACAATGAAGAGTCATTAAACAAATTCATTGATACACTTTAGTTTATCACATTAATCATTGAAAAATAATTAACATCAATTATCATTCAAATGTCGGAAATCACTGATGAATTTTTGGGTAGATATTACTAAGCCCTTAAGCAGCACGCTCGAGTTAACTCCAGCAGCGTATTATTTTAAATTTCTATGATTTTTTACGCTCAAATATAATAGAAAATTGAAAATAAGAATGTGAAAGCAAAGAAATAGAATCGTCTTATTGATATTTATCATTTACAAGCTATAACAATTATTTATTTATTAATATGATATAATCTTTTTCATGGAACAAAATCCAAATTAACATAAAACTATTGATTTTTTCTGTATTTTTTAAATTTCTTTGTCAAAACAATGTTCAAAGCTATGCTTTTATAAAAATACAAAATGATTTTGTCTGGCCGTTTTTTTTTCAAAATGCTTACTGCTGAAGGGGTTAATTAACAAATCTTTTGAATCGCATAAATTATGTTTCTTAAGTGTTTTAAAGATATGTAAAATAAATTGAGTATAGTTTTTTTCAATTTGAAGCATCTTAAATTATAATGAATAGACTTGGGCACCTTCAAATTTTATAATGAATCTGGTTGTTAATTTGGAAAGTGGCCAAATTACAGTTTTGATAAGAAAACGCATATTATTTGATTAATAATTGTCATTATTTTAATAAGAAACTAAAAAATTGAACTTCTTTAAATATACTTAAACAGTATGACTCGTTAATATCCTGTACGTATATTTTTAATTGCATTGAAACGCAAAAACTTCAATATCTCGATTCNTTTTTTAAATATTTCAGACAATACAATTATTATGTATTCTATGTATTTCATAATTATTAATTATAATATTTGCGACATAAAGAATTTGATACGAATTTTTTAATAAAATAAAAACATATTTAAATAGAAAAGATATGACACGTTTTGTTAACCCTTTCGCTACGGGCGGTGACTATAGTCACTCAACGTTTGATGCTCACTACATACAGGGCGGTTACATACAGTATAGTTACTCGTGTAAACGCACGAGTAATTCTTATGTGTAGTTCCATGGTAACCCATCGCAATTTTTAAGCATTTGTTTTACATTCTGAGATTTTTAACTGGCAATATGAACATCTGTATAAAAGAATCGTTTCGGCAGTACGCTTGCTTGAGTTGGCTCACTCGTTTGAAACATTTTCACGTTAAGTATGTGTTCTGTATTTTTTTTTTTATTTTTCGCATTATTGCATTTTGTTTTTAATTTTTTTTTTTTTTTTTATATGTTCGATACCAAATCATTAGTAGACCATAACTTATATTTAGTTATTTTTTGTATATATTAAATTTCATTTGAAGAAAACCATACCATAAGTTTATGGTAGCAAATATCATAAAATACAATAGGCAGCAGGTATAAGGTACTGTTTACCTAAAACAATAAGAAATTCCAAAGGGTCATAAATTCCCAAACTATCTCAATGATCAAATTATTATATTTTTTGTTCGCATTATGTGATATTTGAAAACAATATATTGTTATGTGATAATTTGTTATTTAATAATTTGGTAATCCTTTCCTTTCAACGAACGACTACAGTCACTTCGGATAAGATGCAGCAGCGGTTCTGAACGTTCGGCAGGCGACTTTAGTACTTCCGCAAGTGCACATTTGTGGCGTAGCAGCTCGTCCCTCGGGAATAGCGCCCCGTAGAATTCGTCCGTAGCGAAAGGGTTAAAAAAAACCTATAGGCATGAATACTATCGCATCATTAATAAAGATTATAAATATAGATCGAATTTCAACAGACCTTTCCTATTTTATAGAATTCTGTTCTCATGAAAGGGAACCGATCTTGGGGTGTAGCTGACTGAAAAAAATTAACATTTTCAAAACTCTATCAATCAAGATAGAATGTCGAATTTGATTGACATAAATAATAACCAAAAATGTAGAATACGCCGTCTTAACCTAAGTAAATAT